TAATTACAGGGGATGTGGAGCAGCAGGGCATGTAAGATACCTATGACAGTGAGTAAGAATCAAATTGACTGTAAGTAGATCTATTTTGAGGGGATGATATGCATGAAGCAAAAAATGCCATTAGTAGTTTATCATATAGAAATGTGAGGGAGGAAAATGTGCATGCAATATTAAAACACAGTGCATTTGTGGATTTGACATAACACATAGCAGGTCCCCATATATGAAGTGACAGCAAAATACCCTTTGGCTGCAAGGGGACAAGCTTTCACTCAGTCATGATGCAAACAAGTTCTTGAAGTGATGGAAGCATATTTCTCAAGAAGAACACAAGGACATCTCATATATGGAAGGGGAGAAAAGCAGCAGAAATTCAAATCTGCATCTAAGAATTGTTACAAGGAGCTGGGTCTCATAAGGATCTTTGTTACCTTTTGTGAAAGCCCTATGGAGACAGAGGTATGAAAATGTGTTCCCACTATTTGTCATCTCAGCATTGGTAGAGACTAATTAAATTGATTTGCACCATCCTTTCTTAATCCTTATCCATGTAACTATCCTATCCTGGAGTTATTACTTAATTCCTTAGGAATTGTAGGGCTTTGGAAGAATCCCTGGAAATATTGCTGAAGCACTGAGATAGCAAGGACAAAATTAACTTTTTGCTTTCAAAGGTTCTAGGATTTTCCCAGGAGCTCAGAGAAGGTAGCACCAATGGATTGGATAATTTTAAGGGAAGAAGGGGAAAAAAACTTCCTTGTTTTAAGATCTTTTAGTAGTGGACAAGTCACTTAATCTTTACTTAGCCTACGATTTTCCTGTATAAAATGAAAACAGACTCTTCCTACTCATAAAAGCTGTGAATGGCTGTGAAGCATCTGGGGTTAATTTGTTACAGGTAAAGGCCTATTTGATTGTGATTAATACTTCTGACAACCTCAGTCTATATAAGCCATGTAAGCAACTAGCTGGGCGTATCATTCATCAGCCATGGTGATCTTTGCTGGCTCACAGCAGCTTGCTATAGATTTTTAGAGACACTGGATCGTTCCTATTATTTACTTGAAGGATAAATTGCAACATTTATCATGGTATTCCCATTTTGATTTTGTAAATATTTCAATACCATGATTGAAGAACACTTTGAAAGCCAGTAAGTGCAGATCCCAGATATTGTTGGAATTGTAAGGGTGTTTTGCACCATCCTGATCAAAGTAACAAATAGCATCAATGGACTGGCACAACACATAAATGTTATGTATTTTCAAAGAGGCCATTAGAACACAGCATTCATTTGGAAAATATTTGGAATAATAACCTATCATTCACTCAGAAAATTTCAGTGTTGAGTTGCATTTCAGTGTTGAGTTGCATTTCAGTCAAGAAAATACTTGATATCCTTTAGAAACAAGAAACTGTGCCTTCACTGAAGCCTTGCAAGGTTGTGCCGGGGCAGGAAGCAGCATATTAAAGTGAAATTTCCATCTTTTTCACGCTTAAGTGGAGCAGATCTGAAGTCAGTTCATTCAACAAAATGGCAATTTGGATCTATTTTACAGAGCTCACTTGAGGCAACGTGCTCTTGCAAGTTCACTTTAAACATGGATTCTGAAACTATGGAAGATTTTTGCGTATTTCAATTACCATTAGTTCTGTTTGCTCACATTTTACCTGGTTGACTAGAGAAATAAAGTTTTCCAGGGTATCTTTTGGCATATACAAAATCTAGTTAATTAAGACATGCTATACTTTCTCCCCAGAGTCAAAGTATAATGTTCAGCTGGCCGACTTGCATGAATAATCCATCACTGTGAATCATTAATTTAGAAGACAAGCTATGGTAATTGATGTCTTTATGCAAGCTATGGAAATGCTTAGGGAAATTGCTTATTTTTTTTCTTGTTAGTTCCTTTTTTTTTTCCCATTTACTTTGGAATATTTCTAGGCCTGAGTAATGTGGATTCTGAAATGGATTCACCTGAGATTAAAGTTCCTGTGGGGATGGGATCTTTTTCTTGGGTTATAGTAAAAGTCTGAATATTTTTCATATGAAAAACTCTTAAAATCATAAGACTTAACCTTATGCTAATCTTGTGTGCATACATTGGATGAACCACTTTAAGTTCTGGAAGTTTCTAGGAAAAGGACCTGGCATGGTGGTCTTTGCAGGCTTGCTTTTGGCTTTAATGTGGTAAAAATGCCTTTAAAAATTCTTAAAAATTCATAATTTGCTAATGCAAACAGGGATTTCAAGCACTACCGAGTAAGTTGGTATTTAGACCTTTCTGTGTTATCCTGAGTTGCCAGCTTGTTTTTGTAGCAAACTAAGCATATAAAAGGCTGCTGATGTGTATATTTTGTTGGAATATATATATATGTATATATATATATTTGAAGGTAATTTACCATATAATTCATAAAGCTCACCTATATATTGCATTATACTGGAACCATTATGTCTCGGTGGCATGAAAATTTACTCATTTTGTTTCCTTTCTGGGAATCTCTTCACTTTCACTCCTAATTGAAATATGAGGGTTTGCTACCACTTTAGAATTGTTTTGTCTGTCTTTAGAACAAGGAAGAGGCAGTTGGCTGATATTGAATGGGAGCCAACAGCTTGGTGGCATTTCAAGAGTGGGATATCAATAACCCATATATGACTTAAAGCACATATATATTATGTAATAATGTCATACATGCCAAATATTATGAAGTCTATCCATTGATACTAATGGGATTTGGACTATGACTACATAGTACTATGATGGTTTTTATTCCATAGAGGAAACTTCCTAAATATTTCTTGTGTGTTTTATAGCTGAAATGTAAAGTGGACCATTTCTACAGATAGATTTTAAAATGTAACAATTCTGAAAATGAGCAGGCAGGCTTATTTTGTGTTCTTATTTTTTTTTTTTATCCTTGAATATTTACTTCCCATTTAGGCATCAAACTAGAGGCTTATTTGATCTCATGTGCTTGGCTGCTCCTGTTGTTTCCAGCTGAGCCCTGATCTGTTGCAGTTTGAGAAATCCAGCCCTGAATTTTGACATTTTACACAGGAGCAAAAAGAGAACATGTTCCAAATAAATTCACATTTGTGCTGAATTCAAATAGGTTTTGCTGTTTGGGTTCAGTTTCATAAGGTAGGAGAGGTGAAATGCTGCTGATAGCTGCAGTTATTGAAAAATGGTAATCACAACTTTCATAAAGTGAGATAAGCCATGTTTATTAATGCTGTCTGTGGACATAGAGTGACTTGGCCCTGGGACATTAAATGCCTAAATGGGTTGTGTAATTAGCTTTTTTCCACTTACGGATCAAGCAGCTAAACACACAACATTTTCTGAACAGCTCAAATTATTTTTGCGTGTTAGTTTAAGCCAAGGGAAAACAATTCTAATTTTTCAGGTTTTTTAAATAAATCAGAGCTGCACAGTGAACAGAACTGGGGTGCTGAGGAGGTTTCTATGCCAGCCATAAAACTCATAAACCAGGGATGACTTCTGCATTCCCATCTCTGACACAGAACAGAGGCTTGAACCATACTGGCCTGCTTTGGCAAAGAATTCCAAAATCATTGAACCAAAACCATGGCATGTAGAGGCTATGGGTAGAGACCTCCTCCGGCAACCTTTTCCAGAGCTTTCTTGTGTTTGCCAGCAAAACTCTATTGTTTAAGTTGAGCCTTATGTTTTCTTACTACAGTTTGAAACTCGGTTTGTCCCATCCACTGTGCATACACAATCAGAACAATATTTTAATGCCTTTTTTCTTCTCCCTCCACGATTGGTATTAAAGAGAGGGACTGAAATAAAACATCCCCAAACTAGCCAAGTTTGAGCTTTTAAATTCATATTAATTTCATACTTGGCTACATCAACTGGCATCGTTGTTAGTCCAATTAAAAAGTAAACACCCGCCCTAAAGAATTTGCAGCCAGGCTGTGTCTCACTCAGTCCTAGGGGAATACTCCTGGTTTTTGAAAGGCACTGCTTGAGTGCCTGCCAAATGTAAGCTTTCTTCCCCACAGTAACCACCTTGACCTCTTTGACAGTATCATAAACCAAATAAATACACAGCAAAATCCCCAGTTTGATCAGGACATTGCAGGGGAAGATTTCTAGTCTGGATTTCTGGATAAAGTAATCTCAACAGTTCCTGGAGGGAGTGAATGGGGAGTTGCCACTGTCAAATAGGAGGTAAATATTTCTCTCCCTGAAGCCATTCAGCAAAAAGACCTCTGAAAATTTGAACAACCTGAGGACTTTGAGGTAGTTAAGCTCTAATTTTGTAGTGTCATGGTTTGACTCTTTCTGTATAAGACAGGTTAAATAAGTAGGACCTTTAAAATGAGAAGAAGGAAATGTTTGTTTAATAAGGCCCCAGTAAAGATTTTTTCCCTAACGCAAACTCGCTGAATGGGAGTGAAAAAGTGTCTGAGGTTAGGGATCAGCTGTGACCATTCAGGCTTGTAATTACAGCTGTGATAAGTGTGTTTTCAAGTCTTGCTGTACTAAGAGTTTTCTTAATCCATTATTTTACTAGGCCTTTCATTGCTTCTCCTAGTACATTGTTACAATTCCCGAAAACTTCTGAATCATGGGAAAACAAGTGTTAGGCTATTAATTTCTGGCTCTATAGAGACATAAACTTGAGTCTTGCCTGGGCAAGTGCATGGCCGTGTCTGACATCACTAATATTGTATTTGGGAGCCACAGTAAGCACACAAATATTGCAGCTCTGTGTGGTGGGGACTGGACTGTTTAAAGTCAAGTTTTTTAATGTAGCATTGTGGGGAAAAGTGTAGTGAACTTGTGGTCCATTATTAGTAGCCTTGGTTACTGTGGGCTTTGGGAGCTGGAAAACAGAGGTCTCCTGGCAAAGGCTGGATGTCTTCTGCTCTGGGCTTCCCTATATTTTTATGGAAACAAGCACTGATGTCTCAGCTGGTTGCTCTTTAAGTGCAGAAATTCATGTCTCTGAACGTCCCACAGGTTTGGACACTTGATCCAGTGGAGCTGCTGTCACCTCTACACAGGCACCTTACTGCTTCAAACAACAAATCTCAGTGTTGCTCTTCACTTCCAGGTAGTATGGTTCTGTATATTCTGCCATGACTGAATTTGAACAAAGAAGAAATGAAGCTAAAAGTAATTTTGGGTGGATGATTTCATGCTCTGAAGTGGGCCAGCTGTAATTTTGGTGTCTCATGTGTCCCAATGATAAACTTTGATGAGACAGAGGTGGCTGAGCTGCAGAACCCACAAGGTGCACAGCTGATCTTGGTGTGCTGCCTCAAGGATTGGCAGAGTCTGGGTGCAGTGAGAGATGAGCTGTTGCCCATTTACACCTGGGGGTGTATTTGGATCCTGTGCAATAGCTGTCCTGTGGTGACTAACTAAAAAAATGTGTGTAATTTGGGCGCTGCTTCTCATCCAGCTGCACCAGCTCCAGGAGGTCTGTGTGCCTAATGAGTTTGCTGCTAAGACAGATTGAGTGAAAATTAAAGTATTTTTTCTTCTGTGACTATATTGATGGAACTGTTTGGCACAAACTGGGTCTGAATTCCTTGCTTTGAGGTGCAGCTGTCCACCAAGCCTCTTTGACAGCTTAATTTAGATATAAAAACTGGATAACCCATCTAAAGCTTGAAAAGTGGAATCTTATATATAGGCACAAGAATTCAGGTTAACCTACTTAGTTTTGAAAGCCACTGTAATTAAAAAGATTAACCTAATTTTAAATAAGGGTGTATGTTACCAACCAATGGAAAATACTGGACGCACATGAATCATAGCTTGTCATACAAAAATTGGGAGTAGTGGCACAGTCTTGTAGCAGAAGGTCGAATTAATATTAACTTGCCATAAGAAGACAGCTGAGACTTACTGGAAAACAGGCAGTTTGTTTTGGGGAGGGGAAACAACAAGGTTTCAACTGAGGTTGAAACCTTGTTGTTTTCATTCTGGGTGTTAGAAATTATTTGATTCCTTTCTTTAAGGTATTGGAGTTTTCGAATGATAAAAATCTTAAAAGAAAACAAAACCAGATGCAAACCACCCAACCAAAAAAACCCCCAGACATCCTCTGAACAGCACAGCACGAGCGTGTTCCTGGAGCCTCAGGGAGGGTATGTAGATGTGAGCCAGCAGAGCACAGCACGAGTGGTCTGTTCCTCCAGTGCTTTGTGATTGCTCTTGTTCATGGGAATTGCTGCAGCATTTACAGTCAGGTCTAACGTGATGCAAACTCCTCTGTGTGGGAGAATAAGCAAGATTAAGACAAATTCAGCTCCCTCCATGTGGTGTTTAAATGGCTCATCATGGAGTGGGTACTTGGAACAGCGTCAGTTCCCATAAACACAAACCAATGAGGCTTGAACAGTGAGCACAGAAGTGAGCTCCAAGGCCAGATTCCACCTTCCAGGCACAGCTTGAGTTCTGGACTCTGAACTGAGCTTTTGCCCATGGTGAGCCAAGAGTGATGTTTCAATAGCCACAAGGCTCCAAGGCCGGGATAAATTAAACTATCAGAACAAAAAGTGAGTATTTTATTCCCCCCAGTAAAACGAGGCTTGTTTTTTGCCTCTGAAAAAACCTCTTTGGTCGTTGTGTATCTTCTGTTCTGGATAAGATGCTTGAACAGCAAGAGGTAGTTTTTCCTCGCTGCCTCTCTGTTTCTAACTTTCCAGTTTATCCCTTAAAGCTGCTGTTGTTCCAGATATTCTCTCCGAACAATTCAGAAACACATGCAGGGCACCAAGCTTATGTCTTGTTTTCATGCCCTGCCAGCTCTCCCAGTTGGAACAGCATGAGGCTGCTACTGTCCCATTTGTTGGATTTTGTTTGTTTTTTCTTTCCTTGACTTGGTAAATTCATGGATGCTTGTGAAGAAACAAGGTTGTGAATGATGATGTGGAGATAAAAGCATGAGGAGTTTAGTGGCGATTCTGTCCACTGTGCCGTACTGGGTGGTTCATTCCTCCTGACTTGTCTGTGTTGGTGTCTGGAGTCTTGTCTGTAAAGGGGCAGATGTCCTGGTTGCTTGCTTTCCAAAGATATTTGCAGAGCTGCTGTCAAGTGCAAGTAATTTAAAACCAGACTTGTGGAGTTGTAGAAGCCATGGAGATAAGAGACAATTGAAAATATTTGAGAATATATGAAAAATACCAGCAAAGTAAATAGCAGTGATGCTGGGGCCTGAGAGGCAAGAATTGGAACTGGCCTTAGGGTAGGAACAAAGAGGAGTTTAATTCTCTTCTCCATGTGAAATTCCCATGCTTCTCACTCCTTTGGGAAGATCAGCGATCAACGTCCTTCAGATCAAAAAGAAATTCTTATGGAATGCCTTATTGGAGGTTTTCCACTTGTTTTCCTTGTTTTTCCACTGTGAAAAATACAGAGTGAAAAAATCCTGCTACTGGCTGAATTTGGCATCGAGATTATTCTGTAGTTTTTAGAAAAAATAGTCTGTACTTTGTAACAGATGTTATTCTGCTATGTTAGAGAAATATTTGGAGAGGCTTAAAGCTAAATTTTCCCCTCAGTTACTGATTTTGCTGAAATGTCCTTGCTCAGTGACTCCATTTTTCTGGTTCAGAACTGAACCCCCCAGGCAACTCTTACTTCTCACCCTTTTGTCTCTGCAGACTTGGTGCTAGACCAGCTTTTGAGACATTTTTCATTCTCATTTGGTGCCTCAGCTGTGGCTCTGCTGGGCGGGCTGGGTGCACTTGCCAGGACAGCTCTCTCGGCTGGTTTTAAACCTGGGCTTTCCTAGGCCCTGCCTGGCTCCTGGCTGTGCCAGGACAGCTCTCTCAGCTGGTTTTAAACCTGGGCTTTCCTAGGCCCTGCCTGGCTCCTGGCTGTGCCAGGACAGCTCTCTCAGCTGGTTTTAAACCTGGGCTTTCCTAGGCCCTGCCTGGCTCCTGGCTGTGCCAGGACAGCTCTCTCAGCTGGTGGCCGTGTTCTGGGCGCTGATGCCAGCAGCTCTGGGGTGCTCAGCACTGATCTGGTGCTGCTGTCAGCACTGAGGCTGTCAGGACAGGCTCTCTGAGGTGTGCAGCTGCTCCCAGGAGTGATTGGGACTGGCTGGAAGCTCAGCAGTGGCTGCTGCAATCCTGAGTTTTCCATGGAGAAAGGGACCGTGCGGCAGAGAAGCGTTGGAGGAACAGTGTCCATGCATTATAAGCAGCCTGGTAATGACGAATTGCTGCTGGTAATTAATCAGGGTATAACATCTACTTTGAATGCTGGGGTTAATTGTTGTTGTTTTTTTTCTCTAAAGCAATCTCTGTCTTATTACTGTACTGTAAGAAAGTAATTCTGATCTCAGAAGTGTTAACAGAAGTGAATAATAACTCTCCTGGCAAGAGGGACGTTACCTAAATGTAAATGGAGCCCAGTGTTGATTGCAAGGCTGAAGTCAATATTATTTTGTAGGAAAACAAGCTGGTTTGTATGTCATGCTTGCTTTCAGTTCATGCACTGACAGACTCCTATTCTGAAATCCTGATGCATTTTAATTAACTTTCTTCATCATCTTGACATAGCTATACCATAGCCTGATCCCTTTTCTTCTGAAGCCCTTGTGAAGGGAGATGGGCAAGGTATGGAAGAATTAACTTCTATTTTGGTCTTTTGAAATGGTGTTTCGCACCATATACTTTTTCTATTTAGTTATTCTGGGGTGATTTAAAGATTGTCATTGTTCATTGTGTTTTGTTAAGGATATTTGAAAACTTTCCTAAGCTGGATCATGGGCTTTTAAAAGACATTCAGCAAAGTATCCTTGAGAGATGCACAATTTCTAAGTACTTCTCATGCAGTTTTTCCTGTTCCTATGACCCTAAGTAGTGAAGGGTTCCTGTTCTGTTTTTTTGTTTCTCCTTAATTAGTTGTGTCCTTTAGTCCTCCTACTTTGGAAGGTTTAAAATTGGCTGTGAGAGCTTGTATAATGTCAGGCAAAGTACACAGACTAATGAGTGACTTTATGTATAAATAGGGAGTTGCAAGAAGAATGCTTGAAACACTGTATTCCAAACTCACTTGCTGTAAATGCTTCCACAGGATATATTATTAATATATTTTGGTGCTGCTGAAACTGTAATATCATCATGCATTACAGCAATATATGTGACATAAGTGACAGCTTTCATCACTTATAAAACTACACTCCAGTACATGCAGGAATCTCGCCTTTAGACTCCAACTGCAGTGATTGCATCTGGCAGTTGCATATGGTGAAACTTAGCTACTGCCCTTTTAATTAAATTATTGTGGGAGCTTGCTACTGGGAGTTTCACTGGGAAATAACAGAAATGGAACTTACTGTAAGTAAGGAAATTTGTGGTATGTGCAAGGCAGGCAAGAAGTTGTTCTTGTGTCTAAAATAACTGATTGCAGTGTTCTATCTCTGCTGCTTCTGATGGAAAGAGACTATTACAGAATTACATCTCACCCTTCCTTTTCCAGATAGCCCTAAGGAAATCTGAGGGAGGAAAAGGAATGCTGCTGTCTCATTTGGGGTATCTTCCCTAGATGGTCGCACCCTGAGTGGAGCACTGCATTGGCCTTTTCACTGAAAAGTCATTGCAGAGGTAGAATGTGTCAGAATTGGTTCTTGAGAGCCTCTGAGACCCAACTCCCCTCCTGTGTCTGGGCATTGTCCCTTCTTCCACAGCAGTCAGGGCAACATCTTCACCAGCAGACCAATGCCCATGGGAGAGACTCATTCAGAGAGCTGTGCAGGGCTGGCAGCCTCAGTGGGACAGGAATGGATGGTAAAAACCACCAAAACTAAACAGTCTGTGCCTAAGATGTTTCTGTGGAACTTGCCAGGTAGAACCCCCCATTTTGGTCTGTCTGTCTACACAGCAGATCCTGTGTAGTATTTCAGTCCCAAGCCTTGAAACTCCCCAGGCAGACTGTGTTGACTTCCTCAGATGAGCCACAGGCACACCCCCAAGTTCTGAACCTTTCAGAATCCCCAAGTTCCATAATGCTTCAAATTTTCTCCTTCACAGAGCTTGTGGGTTTTGCGTTTTCTTATTTATAGCTCTTACTTTGTGGGGCACACTGGAGCTGTCA